TAAATATATATTTATTTATTTATTTATTACAAGGTTTTATACCTTTCGTACGGGGAACAAAGTAAAAACATTACCAAACAGACCTATTTTTAATAACACAGTAAATATAATAATTTCTGTACAGAGTCCAAACTCGTATATACAAAAACCAATAGTAAAATACAATAACCATTACGTACAATATATTTTATATATATATCAATAAAATACAGAAGATACAAAAGCGTCCTTACTTCCGCCGTTTCCAACACCAGGAACAAATAGACAGACTTACTTCACACAGACGATCTTTTATTGTAGTCTACCATTCTGCTACAATATGCAAAACAGTTAAAAATGTTCACATTGTAGCAGAGTCATAACCTACAATTAAAAGTCGTCTCTGCGAATGAATACCTTTGTTTGTTAGTTTTGTTTGTTAGTTTTTAGTGTTGGAAAGGGCAGAAGTAAAGACGTTCTTATTTCTTCTGTATTTTATCTAGATAATATTCTAAAATGAACAGTTTCATTAAAAATTTCCGTTTTTTACTTTCCCGACTGTTATATATAACGGAAGGAAAGTGTGGCGATTGGTCAATAACTGACTCACAGAGATTTTTACATTTTTGAACTCAGGTCACCTTGAAACGTCGAGAAATACAATAATAATCGGGATTTTTCTGTACGTACAGGTCTTGGTGTGTGTGTGTAGAAAGTGCACGGTTTTTTTGTTCATTCAATTTGAAGCTTAATAACTACCGTGCTTTTTGTCGAAAATTTCTGAAACTTTGAAGGGAAGGGGATTGATGCAATTAAATTTTGGTGGATAAAAGTTAAGGGTGTGGGGAGTTAGAGGGGGAGTCAAATATCATATTTCCAATAGGGTCGTACTTAATGAAGATTTTACTATTAGAATTTACAATTTTTTTAAATTTTGCCTTATATTTACACATTCGTTAATCATGATCATGTACATCGATAATAATTTAGAGTTTAAGCATCGGAATAAAAACTTACATGCCATTAATTACAATTTTTTTAAATTTTATTTTATATTTACACATTCGTTAATCATGATCATGTACATCGATAATAATTTAGAGTTTAAGCATCGGAATAAAAACTTACAAAAATTGTTTCGTTATCGTATTTTCCGTTATTAAATATCGAACTGTAATGAAAAATATCATTAGATATTAACTCGATGTAATGTGAGATGATCCAAATGCGATAATTAATTTGAATTTCATTGGGATTTAAACCATTATTATTATTATTTTTAGTCTGATAGTCCCAATTTTGAGATTGGTCCATTTCATCCACGATATCAATTAATTCAAACTCTTTGTTTTCCTGGTGAAAATCATCATTGTGAAGAACTGCACTATCCTCATTTGAATCTTCTTGATTTCTTGATGTTCTTTCGGATTTAAATGAAGTTTCATCGTGACTTTTTTCCGTATTTATTTCTGCTTTTAATGTATTTTCCTTATCCTAAAAATTAAGAAAAAAAATATATATATATTTTCCATGTGTTTAAATGTAAAATAGATTTATCTTATATTCTATAAAAATATCTGTGTAAATGTATTATAAACTGTATGCAGTATTCAACTCATACAAAATTCTTTTATATTTTTAAATAGATATAACAACCGTTTAAATGATAATTTAAGGCCATAAAGTATATAAAAAAAATAGTAAATTTTATAATGGAATAATACCATTGATTAAATAAATATATATATATATATATAAATTTATAGTTTATAAGTGTGTACTGTATATATTCTATTAATACTAACTGCTTATAGTTAATCCTTAATACTGATAATTGTATTTTATTTATAATTATAATTATTTAGAAATAATAAATTCAGAAATAAAATTTTATACTGATAAAATATAGAAGTAAATTCGGTGTGAACTCAAGCATCTGCTACTTAATTTAAATATAGACACAACAGCATTACAACAATTTTATAACAGTTAGTATATTCTAAAGAAGTTGTTAAGCTATTTTAAATCTGTTGCATTTTTAAATAACAGAAAAAACTCAGGCATGTTTTTCTTTTTTTAATTAAAATTCTGTAATATTCACTGTAATAATGATTAATATATATAACACTATCAAATTAGAGAGATTAGGTTCCTGTTATTTAGATCAAATGTACTGTACGTGTTTGTGTAATTCAACATAAATTATATGTAGACCTATATTTATTGATTGTTCTAATATATTAACCTTGAAGCATAATAATGCATATTTCCAAAAATAAATCATTATAAACTATATATATAATAGTTTAAATAGTTTATTTATTTTTAATATGAACTTTTATCTAATTGATTTTCTAGTAACTTTAGTATTTATCACACAAATCTATATAATGGAAAGATATACTTTATATAAACATGTATGTTGCGTGTATATAGGCCGATATAGTCTTACATAATTTATAATATACTCGATTTTACTAATATTTTCGTAAGATAATACTAATTATAATATATAATTTATACATAATTTTACTTAATATATATATGCATATTATATACGATTAATATGTTTTATATTCGAATTCTTACCTGGGCTATAATGGAAAATAAATTGTTTACGAGTATATCAATGCATATAAAAACTATAATATATAAAATTCGATTAGTGTACATCCTTCATTTCTTTAAAGATATTTTGAAACAGTGTAATAGTGAAGATGCATCCATCTTCATTCTGAAAATATCCCCGTTATAGCACGTGTTCTAATAATGAGACGGCACGTAAGCCAAAACACATCACGTGCTCGTGACGTTTCCTGTATATTTACACTCATTGTATATCATGCGTAGCCTACAATGATTATTTCTTTTTCATTTATATGATAGTAAATAGTTTTATTTATAGAATTTTAAACATATATATATATAAATTATAAAAAATAGTCGTTTAATTATTAATTTTTAAGTATTTAATGTTTATTTATTTATTTAAATTTATATTAGTTTGAATGAATTAAGTGTTTAAATATAATATTTTACTAGAAATTATTGGAGTAAGACAAATTAATTTATTTGTCTTTATTTATTTATTTACATAACGAAAAAAAATAAATAAATTTAAACGATTTATATAAAGCTTGAACTTCTCCAATTGTTTAAATAAAACAATAACTACAATTATTTATTATTTTTTATTTAGACCCATTCAAATCAAATTATAATAAAATTAATATTTTTTTGCATCATTTAATATTATTTTAAATGCAAAAATAATCTTGCTGTGTCCTACCAGTTACAAGAGCTTTAGGACACAAGTAAGAGTGTTTATGTATGACATAATGCTTTATGCTATATCATACTAGCTAGTAAGATATAGCATAAAGCAGTTAAAGATTATAGTTTTAATATTGTTCACATAGAAAGTATGAGAAGATGAAGTAATTCTATAACCTTTAAGAAGAGAATGTTTATAGCATCTGTTGATAGGAAATGAGGATTAAGAAAATTGTTAAAAATATTTTTAGAAACGTCATTTTTTCCTACATAGTACAAGGTATGTAAGCCTTGTATGTAAGCAAGGTATGTAAGAAATCAATGAAAAAAAAAATAAAGACTTGCAGAATTTCTGCTAGAACGGAATAGATAGAGTAAAGGAGCTTGAATATACAAAATCGACAATTAAAAAAAATCCAGCAACGAGTTGCTTAACTTTCCAGGCAACATTTAAAATTTTGGTGCGCCATATGTTGTTATATTTTATTTTAAATAAACTTTTTATACTTTTAATTATTATAAAATGGCAAATGCTTAATTTTGAGGATATGGATGGATTTTATAAATAAATAAATAAATAATTGTAAATGCTAAAAACGAGGAAAATCGTCATTAAGTCCGACCCTACTGGAGATATGACACACGACTCTCCTTTATTTCTCCACTCTGTCGACCTTTAACCACCAAAATTTAATAGCATCAATTCCCCTAATATACAAACCTCCCAGCAAAGTTTCGGAGATTTTCTCAAAAGGAAAAACACAGGAAAAAAAACCCAAATTTTTTGCATTTCTCGGCGTTTCAAGGTCCTCTGAGTCCAAAAATGTAAAATTTTTGAGGGGATGATTTTTTGACTGATCGCCATACTTTCCTCTGTTATATATAACAGAGCCTGGACAGTAAAATGAATAAATTTCAGATAATTATGATTAGAATAATTTTATGTAACTTTTGCAGCTTTGTTACAGCTTATTAATAATACAAAATAAAACTCAATTTTTTAAAATGAAAATCAAAACAAATAAAATATCCGGTTTCTTAATAAGACAAATTTTTTGAATGTAAAACGGTATTACTTGCACAAGAATTTAAAACTATATTAGAAAAAATAACATATTTAGTGCATTGTATTTTTCTATAGTAATACTATTATTCATTAATCATTTTGTGAGGCCAAAACAGTTCGAAATAACGTGCTAGAATGTTGTTCAACGGGGTAGTTAGACTCCCACCTTTCGAATAAAAAAGACACAAAACTAAACAGTGATATAGTAAAATGATTTATTTAACCTGTAAAAGTTCTTATCCTGGATCCACTCTTTATTGTCGATTCGTTGCATTCCAGGATATCCTCTAGCCGCATTAAAAAATGTTCCTATCTGGTCCAAAAATTCCACTGAACGAAGCGAACCCTTGGGCCTTCTTTAGACAAAGGCATTCGGACCTTCTACGGACTATCTCCTTAGACCGTTAATAACTCTATCTTTTACAGGCGAGTAATAGAAAAAAAATTTTAGGCATGTTTTTATTCAATTAAATGGGTTCTCTTGTAAATAGTAATCCCGACTCAGTGTCCAAATTGCACTCGCATAAGATCTTCCAACTAGCTTGTCGTCCTGACGTAAATTTAGAATATTTTGAAGTCCCAGAATTAGCTAATTAATCAATTTTTCGTCAATAAAAAGAAGACCAAGAGAACATTTTAAATATTTGAAAATTAAACATTTAAAAAGAAAAAAAAATCTTAGTGCCGTGACCAGGATTTGAACCTGGGTTATTGCGGCCACAACGCAATGTCCTAACCACTAGACGATCACGGCTAATTTCGCACGTCATAAGTGTTCGTCTTTACTCTATAAGTACTTGTTAAAGTTAGTGAAGTGAAACTGTTCTTTTTTTTATTTTACCAATTGCAACTCATCGTAAGCAAGTATGTTAACTATTAGAAGTGGAATTTAAAAAAAAAAGTTTTCGGTTGTTATGTATAACAGGGAAAATAACGCAATCGGTCAAAAAATGACCCCCAAAAACATTTTTACATTTTCGGTTCGGACTCAGGACACCTTGAAACATCGAGAAATGCAAAAAAGTGTGGAGGGTGCAATTTTGTTCACCCTCTTTTAAGCTTAATAACTCCTGCGCTTTTTGTCGAAAATTTCTGAAATTTTGCAGGGAAGTTTGTGTATTTATGGGAATTTATGCTATTAAATTTTGGTGATTACAGGTCGAAGGGGTGGGGAGATAAATACTAGACACACACACAAGCCCTTTTACTCTTTATTAGCATATGTTTCCGGGAAAGTTAAGCAATTTGTTGCTGGATTTTTTTCAGTAAGATATATATTACTTATCTGGCTTTCATTACAGAACTGATTAGTGATTAGGGGATGGGCTTTCTTTCCATTTAATACAAGCACTATTCAATTTATGTTGATATTAGATTTCGAAATTCTTTAAACTGTTTATGAAATATTTTTTTTAAATGCAATTCATAATAGGTAATCGAATGCCTAAAATAACTTCAATCTTTATTGAGCTTGTATTTTTTAAAATTTATCTAGATTTTTTAAATTGATAAATTAAGTTTCTAATTATTCAAATATATTTCATGGCCTTCAAATAATCCAACGAACTTTTGTTCAATGATTATTATTCCCCTAGTCTATATAGTATAAAAGATTCGAAAATAATTTTTATATTAATTTTATAAAACGTTTTGCATAAATTTTGTATTGTTGCTCGCATTCTAGCTGAAGCATTCTGCAATAAAAACTCTTTGGAAAGCAAACATATCATAGTTGTATGTAGAAAGTCAATATAAAGAGTAATAATAAAATATTTCATTAGCTATTTATGGAGAAGTAGATGATAATTTATTAAAACTAGATAATTTTTTAAGTTAGAAAAAATATGTTACTTATAAAATTAGTGTCTGGTAACAATTTTTTAAATTATATATTTGAAAATTTGATCATCTAATACTGGAGAAAACAAATAAAATTGAATTCTACATTTTACATACTACTGATGGAGTTAAAATGTTCTATTCTGTATTTTAAAAAAATCTAGCAGCGAGTTACATAACTTTCCAGCCAAACTTTAAAATCGTGGGTAGCACCACGTTATAAAGTTTTTAAAATCTCATATTATAAAGTGGCAAAAAGCTTATTGATGGTTGAGGAGTTTTATAAAAAAATAAATAAAAATTGCAAATGCTGATAACGAGTAAAATCGTCATTAAGTCCTATCCCACTCGAGATATGATCTCTATCTTCCAACCTCTTTGACCTTTAACCACCAAACCCCTAATATGCAAATAATACTTTCTATAAATATAGAAAAACAAAATTATTTTCACATAAATAATATGATGTCAACAAGAAATAACTTTTATTTACATCATAAATATAAATTCTAAACATTACAACTCAACATTTAATAATTTTCATTTCTATGTTCACCAGTCTTGCTCATAAAGTAACTTCTGTTTTGCTTGAGATTCTACAATATCTTCATCTGTATATTTTATTATTGTTGGTGGAATTAAAGCTGCAGCAATACATCTGTTTTCAGCTGTTAAATAATTGTAAGTACTACAAGCATGTTGCTGTAAAAAAATTCAAAATTAACAGTGAATTACATTATTTGATATATTAAATACATAATATAATAATCGAGATGTTTTATTTGAAATTAATCTTAAAAGTTAATGTCATTTTTTTTATGTTTATTTAAGAAATTATTATATTTTTTAAATCAAAATTTTGTCTTAAATATTTATATATGTTCTAAATATATTTATCATTATTATTGAAAAATCTTTGAGGAAATAATATGGCTTAGTCGTGGTAATATACTGTATTTATTAACACAACTAAATCCAGATAAACATTTTTAATATTTCTTGCATTAAGTTGTTTCAATTTACTAAACAACCATTGGATTATCTAATATTTAATCACCTTTAAAAGTTTTGCATCATTCTTACAATCACATATTTTTATTATTATTAAGATATAAATAACAAATAAAGCCCAATCCTAATAAAAATGAATAAACAATTAAAATGGAATAAGCTTTATGGTGGGGAAAATAAAAGTCATAAACAATCAATCCTAAAATATTTGAATGATCAAAGGATAGGTAATATGAAATGAATTTGCCTTGTTCTAGCCAATAAGTACAATTTGTCTGATTCCTCTAGCAAAGAATGAAAGAGAGAAAGTGTAAATATGAACCACTAAATGGATAAAAACTAGACTAGAACACAAGACAGATTTTAAGATCTTTTTGATCTTATAGAATAATAACAGCTTTGAGTCAGGAAATTTAGAACAGGATTAAGACAGATTGGAATAAGGCTAAAATGTTAAAGAAATAAAGGAAGAAGAAAGTTCGGACTATGCTAAAAAAATTATGGATTTATGGAGAGTTTACAGAAAGTAGTAGTTAATAGCAATGATGTACTTATTGCTGATAACAAATAAATGCTTGTTAAGACAGAGTAAATATAATAAATGAATAAGACTGTTTAAACTAGTTAATGAAATAGTATCTGGAATAACTTATCTGGATCTCCAATTAGGTTATTGTTAATTTTATTTTTTGGTTGAAATTAGTGCATGACTAACTGTTTTTGGTAGAGGCTGCTAATGGTAGGTGACTTGAAAATCATTTGCCTTTCAAAATTAAATTGTAGAAATATTTGAAATTAGAACTGTTTTTTTTTTTTTTGTTTTGTAAAATATCATTCTTAAAACTTAAATATTCATTTTCGGGTGTTCTTTGCAAATCTAAAAGTAAGAGGAAACAAAGGCATTTATCATTTAATGAAATCAAATTCTGATGTTTGCTACTATATTTTAGCCATTATGTTATAATGATAACTAATAGTGTAATAATGTTAATACAGTAGAGCTTCGAAAACTCGGCACTCCGGATAACTCGGCAACACCCTGGCAGGGCAAAAAAATCCTTAGTTAATTCATTTTCATGATAAAGACAGCTTTATGCCTCATAAAGTATTTTTCTGAGGTCTGTCTTATCAGGTAAATTACTGTACA